CTCTAACATCATAGTTTTTTTTTATACCATAATTCAGTGGCCATGAGGGCGTGTAAGTTGCAGCACAGAGGCAGCTGTTGACATTAAATGAACTGATGAAGCATTTTGGTTATTGTGACGAGTGATAGCAGTGAAGGGGCTGGGACGGTTTTTGACACAAGGTCTGAATGTTGTCTGATAATTTTTTTTTTTTTTTTAACTCTATTTGAACTAGAACAAGCATGGCACCAGACAAACTACAAACGATAGCTCACAGAGGCTGCTTACAGCTGCCGAGTGGCTCCGCTAACGCTAACGCTAGCTGTGTTGTGTTTACGGTGATTAGCAACCGTTAGCTTCACAGCAGCTAGCTGGCTAACGCGCCCTCGTGTGCAGTTTCAGCGGTCAAACTGATGAGGTATTTATTTCTACGATTGTCAGTCAGACAAAACAACCGTAACGCTTTAAAGGCGACAAATAAACAAGGGTGGTTACCTTTATCGCCACTACTTTATCATTCAGAAGCAGCTGAACTGTTGACAAGGAAGTAAATCAACTTTTTCAGGGAGTAGCTGAACTGATTCACCGCCACTAGCCGGCGGTGCTGCCTCCATGTGGCGGAGCGGTGGTACTGCAGCTCCTCGCTACAATATGGGACACACTCAAGATGTTATTTGAAATACAGTCGTCCTCAAATGTATTCATACCCTTCCATTAAAGATAATGAAAAATTTACAATAGTCACTCAAATAACTACAAAACTGAAAAAAGTAATAATACATTTTAAAAAACACTAAATTATAATTTAGTGATATAATACATTGATTTTGAATTGTGGTTGAAAAAAACAAACAAAACTGTCCCAGACAAATTAGAGCACTTTGCTAATGAGCCTTGGGCCAAAATCAAAATACCTGTCAACAGGTGCAGAAGTCTGATTGAGAGTTACAGAAAACACTTGATTGCAGTGATTGATAAAACTAAATATTAGTTTACAGGTCCCATCATGCTTGTTTGCTTGTTTGTTTGTTTGTTTTAATATTTCACTTGAACCTCAATTCAAAAGCAATGTCATGATTTTCCTAAAAATTTTTATTTATTATTCATTTTGTCAATTTCAACTTGTTTCAGTGACAGCTGTTTATTTCCTTCTTTAATGGGAGGGTATGAATAAATTTGAGGACTACTGTACATGAGCAAATATGTGACAGCTTAAATGGAAAGTGGTTAGATGGTTAGTTACATAAGTAGTGACTCCATGGAATGCTGCAATTAAAAAAAATATATATACTGAGCAGAAATATAAAAGCAGAATTAAAGTCATCTTTGTTTTCTCACTTAAAGAAAACAATCATTTCTAATGTACCGGTAAGAAAACAGTTCAATTCAGCCAACTGTGTCCAAAAAAATGTTTGAGCTGTTATTAATAAGTATATAATTATCAACACCCTAATCAGTCGTGGCTAGGACAATTATCTGTAACCACCTTAAAATGCAGCTATATTTAAATGACATGATGCCACAGTTGATAAAAGAAAGATGAGAACGGACTGTTGGCCTGCCGGATGCTGACATGTCAGTTAAGGTTGCAGCCATCTGAATGTCCCCAACTCCATCATTCATCTGTCATCTAAAAAGTAATTTCAGACAGTGTGGTATGACAGACAGTCTACCACACAACACTCTGGATGGACGTGTCTGATGACATGATTTTGTCTCTCAAAATGTCCACCAACCTTAAGACAAGGGACAGTGTTCCACAAGCCTCAGTAACTCTATGTGTTGCAAGCTCACCCCACTCTCCATCATCTCCAATACAGTCTTACTTGGTTGTTTCATAAGGTTCATTCTAGTGTAGAGATGCAGCATACTGATCTTGTTCCTCTTTGCTAAAAATAATGGCTAGAATTATTTTTTTTAAAAACAAACAAACATGCTGCCTTTATACTTTTGTAGTACAGTTAAATCATACCTTTGCTACATATTTCTAGTTACAAATACTTACAAGTGAAGCCCCAAACTTGCAAAATTTTCTTGATGTGGAGAGGAGGGTCCCCTCACCTTTAACTTGTCATGATTTCATGGATGTTTGCTGAGTAACATTTTGCATTGCATTGGGAAATGTATTTAAAGATAATGAAATGAAAAACAGTGAAAAGAAGCCGTAAACTAAAAGGATTTCATGCTGTGGATACAAAAATCCTGTTTCCCAAACTATTAAGCTTTCTGCTCTGTATCACAGCCAACTGGCTTTTGGTCCCGTTTTCCAAGGTGGAAGAATTCATGGTATTCAGCTGAGGTCGGTCTCTGCCTGAAGTCACAAAAGTGTACGAGGGAGAGCGGAGATGAGAGGGATGTGGCGTATTATCTGTCCGTAATAATCAAACGAGGAATGATCATGAGTAAAATCTTTCTTCAGGTGATTTTGTGGCTTTGGTTTGAGCAAGTGATAAAGGGTGAGTAAAAAACAGAAGATCTGCTAACTTGGCTGTGTTCAGGACAAAAGTTTTGATTGTAGTGACAAGATGATTGTGCATGCATGGTGCAAAATGCATTAAAAATAGCAAAACAGGTGCTGAGTAAAAGTGTACTGACATTTTATCTGCAGGGACTCATGTAAATGTTTGAGTTGAATGCTGATATTTTCTTCTTTAGATGTGGCTGCAGGCACAACTCCTAATTCTCAAACAGCTGTCTCTTCAGTCTCTGATGCAAACCTGATGTTTGAGGTGTGTTCAGAGCTTTAGTTATTTCAAGTCTTCATCCAGACAATTTAAATTCCGTGCTGCTTTTCTTTGCAGAATAAGTAATAGATCCTTGTTTCTCTGTTGTTTGCAGCTCCTGCTGGGCGGGGTGGAGATCGACCAGGACAACAACATCGCCCTGCTTGACAAGGAGATGGCATCGATGAGGCAGGGGCGGACTTTCCTGTCTCAGATCAACGATAACATTCCCAGAAGTCGGAGCTCCATGGAGCAGATGGTGCGGACTCTGGAGGATCAGAGGAGGAAGCCACTGACTCAGGTCCAGTTTGAGAACCTCATCCTGAGCCTGGTGTATTCCGCTTATCAGGCCAAGCATCAGGAGAGAAAAGAGGAACAGGAGGCCTGGGGTGGAGTCCTCCTGCAGCTGGCAAACGTCACGGTGCACGAACTACGTGGAAGTTATCTCTTCAATTATGCTTAATGCACACACTACCATTCTGTTTCAAATGAAAGGTGTATGCAATAAATCATTTGGCTTAAGTCTTACTGTAATGTGCATTTATAACTAATTGCATGTGTGGTCAAAGGTTTGCCAAAGCTTCAACCATGTATGAATGAATAGATTTATTATAGTTATACAGTGGAAAAGCTTCTGCAAGAACGTACACAGTGGTCAGGTTTATAAAAGATTATCTAAGACATTCGTGACACACGAAAACAATCCCTGAAGTTCACCTGAAAACATACAATAACAAAGAAATATATACACAAGGATGTTTTTAAGACCTTGGCTATTTTTCCAGTTCACTTCTTCCTCATTTGAGCTTGTTTTTGTTTAGAAGGGTCAGTCTTGGTCTTGGTTTTGGTTTTGGTCTCAGTTTCTTCCAGAGAAGCTAGTTTTTTCTTGAGCTTTGCATCCACAGCAGGCGCCTTCCGGTCCCTGTTGGAGCGCTGCTGACTCCTCCTCTGTCCTCTCACACTGTCCGCTGAGGTGGAGCTCTCCTGCTGCAGGTTGTGCCGATCACTGATCGGTGACTCGTTCCGGTCCCAGACTAGCACCGTTACACCTGGGAGTGAAAAAGACAAAGAGTTAATGACACACTTTCTCTTGAATTATGTGAATAACTACCACATCCATCAATAATGTGCTTCTGAGGAACTCACCCATGCCAGATCCAATCACATCACCCATCGGATTGAATTTGTTGATCTGTAAAAGCAGGATTTCAGGTCTTAATAGCTACAGTTTCAGTGTTGTGACATGTTTATGGTTTTAAGAAATGATACTCACAGATTTGATCCCCGCAGCAGTGGGATCGTACAGCTGACAGACGAGCTCTGCTGTGTTGGAGTCATAGATGTCGATGGTCCTCTGATCGCCGGTGCAAACCCGGTCATCGGGGTAACGCCCGGCCACAATGAGGTCATACACAGGATGCCACGTGGCCTACACAACAAATGGAACAGTGTCCTATTGTCATGAATGTCATCCTACCACAATAATTACATGAAATTAAATGAAATTTGCAAAAAAAATTTAACTCCATTTTGATGTTATTGGCAGAGCCTTACAGGCATTTGGATGTTCTCTCCAACCATGATAGTAAATGACTTTTTCCAGACACTGATGGTTGAAATGTAGATATTTCAGTCGTATAAATAGGTTGAAATTTAAATTGCACTTTAAATTGCAGTAAAAGGAAGCAGGGGTTTCCTACGTCAGATGACAATCCTGGCTCTGCTTGGCTTCTTTTGCAGGTTGTCCTGTACTTAAATGTGCAGCACATTTCAATTTAAAAAAAAAAAAAAACAAGCGCATCAACATGGCAACACGTGCTGCTGTATTGTCGTAATGGGAAAAATGCTGACAGCTCTCAATTTGGACATGTTTGTGTTTGTGCTTCAAATGTAAAAAATCTGTTCTCCCCATCAGACTGATTGAAGTCATCATCTTTCAGGAAACATTTCCTCAGAACAAGTCAGAGGCTGTGTACAGATCTAGTGAGGAAACACACCTTGATGGGTGTGAGGTGCTGAAACTGTCGGTGCGGGTGCTGGATGATATGTTGAGGCTTCGACCAATCAGGAGACGAGTACACACGGATCTGGTCAAACTGATCTGTGGTGAGCAACTTGGAGCAGTCCAGTGGGTTGAAGTAGGCTGTGAGGAGACAAAAATAACAGCTTTGACTAAATGATTTAAGATTTGCTTTACATGTAGTGGTCAAAGCAGTGTAATGGTACGTTTATAGTTCCCGTTTTAAAATAAGGACAAGATGGTTGCATCGCCTGTCATATTGAACACAGAAATACACAGAGCTCCTGGAAGGCTGTGATGGTTTTCCAGGATATCAAAGCGAGACTGGGATTTCTGTGTAGGATTTCTGGAAAATCTAGATCTTCCTACTGTGTTTGTGCACTGTTAACAGAAAGCATGTAAATATAAATCAAAGGACCTTCACAATTCAGCAGTGACTATTTAAATATAACTCTTAAAGATGCATTAAAAAAGTGAGGATGACAGAGAATCTCCTCGTACAGTCTCTCCCCATAACAAGTATTTGTTGTGAGCACCATTTGTTTCCTGGTACATCTGCAGTTAGTGTGTCAGAATGATGACAACATTGATGTCCCATGGATGTTTGCAGACACACAGACATGGAAAGCATGAACTGGTCTACTTAAAAACGATGGCTAATATTATTTACATTTTCTATAAGCTTATTTGTCTTTTCAAGTTGCATGTAACAAATCCTGTATAGTGCAAATGTCCCAGGGCCTGTAAACTGCATAGGTTTCTAAAAACATTCTAAAACATTAATAATAAAGAAGCTGAAAGACAGTGTTACCTGAGTTGACAGCTTTCTCATGAGGCATTTCATGGAGGAAGCTCTTCTTGTCTTTGATGTTTCTCAGGTCCCAAAGCTTCACCGTGTGGTCGACCGATGCCGTCGCCAGCAGCCAGTCACATCGGGAGTTGAACTCTGCATGAGTCACTTTAGCTTTGTGCAGTTTATCACTAAAAATCTGAAAGAAAACGCAAATCACAACCACAGCGCTCATTCTTTATCTCGTCTTTAATATATGTTTCGGTTTGCAGACGAAATATGACTGATCTTAAATTGATCAAAGGCAATACAAGGCAAGTAAACACACACCTTTTGACCATCCAAACCCCGAAGTATGAGCTGCCCCATGTTGTCTCCGGTCACAAGCATCTGTCGGCTTACAGACACATCCACACAGCAGTACCAATAACTGAAGGAAATAAAGAAGAAGTGCATTTAGTGGGTATAACAAATGGAAACTTAAACATTGATAAAGTTTAAAACCGCAGAACAACAGAAAATCAGTGATGCACCACCAGAAAATTACCAAGAATGCGTTGGATTTAAAAAAAAATGAAAATATTCCATTCATTTTAACAACTGAATTACTGAATGCATTGAATTATTAATACCTTTTTTCTTATACATTTCACCCGACCAAAAAAAAATCAATTTTTTTCATTTACCTCTCATAATATGTAGCCGTGCAGAAAGTTTAAGTTTTGTAACACGAGTACAGTGACATCGTCTCTGACATTCAAATTAATCAAGGTGAACTAAATTCGGTTTGCGCTGCTCACAGCTTTGAGAAACAACATTTAGAAAAATCAAACACAGGTGTCTTTTGAGAAGTGGTGTCCCTGGTACTTATTGTAATCTAAAAATTTCTCCATCAACAGTTTTACTGGAACTACTTTCTGCTAAGGAAAGGAACGTTTTTCCTTTCAAACAATAAAAGGTAACTGAACTTAGTATGAGGTGTCCTTTCCCTTTGTTTTCCATACACCCTGATGGATTTAATTAACAGCTGCATGCTGATAGTATGTTGTGTAAACTATCCTGATTAATGTAGACATTATAACATTTTTCTAAAAGTAATCTTTCAATGGCGTGAGCAACACAAAATTCTATTTACTGCATAGTTTGGGGTAGAGTGATAAAATGCTGTAAAAAGTGTGGTAATACGGACAAAAATCTCTGCACAGAAGGTAGAGATAAATGAAACTACTTTTTTTTTGGTCATTGCCGAGCATCAGTCTTCTCTGCAGTTTTCTCACCAAACATTGTGGTGATCGTGGCCACAGTCTTGGGTTCTGGACAGGAGGGTGGGTGCTCGGCCCTCAAAGCTCTGCATGGTCAGTGTGCCTTCACCAGAAGCCACATAGACTCTGGACAGATCCGTGGGGCAAAACTTCATCCCTCCGATAAAGTCTCCTGCTCCGCTCTGTGCACACAAACACAAATGCAGGCCTATCACAGGGGAGTTATTAGCACTACATGACCAGTGTAGAACCACCTGAGAAGAAGACTGATGCTTGACGGATTGAGCCTAAAATCTGGAACCCTTTTTGATTTAAACTTAGAGGAAAAAAGGGGACTTAGTCTTACTTCAGTGTGTGTGTGTTGGAAAACACTGTTAGAGTCGTCCCACTGAAATCTCGAAGTGCTGTCGTACCCCTCATAGACGAGGTGAACAGCTGAGTGGGATTTAACTGGTTAAACTTCATGTCTGTAACTGAGTCTCCAGGCCCCATCTAAGCAGAGAACCAGTGACAGTGTTGTGAAGCACATCTAAACAGCGACAGCCTGCAAATGTGATCGTCCTTCATCGTAATTTAAAAGCAGTTTGGAGAACGTCTCATACTGTTGGTCATTCAAGAATCAGGTTTTTTTTTAAAATGCAGCAACTCACCCCCTGAATAAAGGTTTTCTTTGTGGGCACCTCAAAGTCCCAGAGATAAATGTCTCCCCCCTTGGAGCCCACAGCCAGAGTGGTGGGCTGAGTGGGATGCCACTCCAGACAGGTGATTCTACGGTCGAAGGGACTAGTCGCACCGTGGAAATGGTAAGACGACAGAGAGCGGACGAAAGGCTCCTGGAGACACTAAAGAGACAACAGAGTTAGAGTTATAACTGCTCACTAACATGCAACGGAAATATACATCTATGAATAAATAAACTCTGAACACAGTGATTTGCTGCATGTGGTGGAGCTTCCTTACAATGAAAGTTACAAAAACGAATGCAGTTAGAGCAAAAAACAAAGGCCACAACCTTATGAATGTTCACATATTAGATTGTTAGACTGGTTCCTCAGATGCACCAAGGAGCATTTTATCCTAACAGTTGTGATGAGGCTACTTTAAACTACTTCAGAGTTAATATGAGGGGTCAGTAGATGATTTAATGAAAGAAGGTTAATTAAAACTACATTCTGCTGCACAAACTTGTATTCCTATTTGACTATTAGGTTTATTTGACCTTTTTATGCCTTGAATTGTTACTTAAATAGAACTTTCTGTTACGTTTAGAAGAAAAATACACCTCTGGATGAACTGCTAGAGCCTCAGACCAAGAGAGTGCTTTTTGCATAACTGTATATTACACACATAATATACTTACAAACTTAAAGACCTCATATGTTGAAAATCTAATTTGTACCCTGTCAACATGTGGTGTTTTTTTTTTGTTTTTTTTTACATGCTAGAGGACACATCAGGAGAAAGTGGGTGGGTCCTTTCTGTATCATTCTTCTTCAGAATCTGTTTCCAGTTTGAACATGCTTGGCTGAATCACTTCAATATTACAGTTAGCCATCGTGTAGCATGTAGAGTAGGGTTACAGTGTTTTAAGCAGAGTTGGTGTGCTGAGCTCCTCTACATAAGTATCTGGATTAGTCCTCAGTATCAAACAATTCACTGGAATCTCCTCTGTGCTGCCAGGGGCTGCTGTGCTACTAACAACAGAGTCTTGTGGCTCATTATAATCTGTCTGATTGCAAAAACACTGAATTTTATAAATAAGATTGACACAGAAACCTGATCTGCTTAATAAAATCAGCATTTTGTCAATAACAAACCAATGGATCAGACTTGTCTGCTGCTGGAGGTGTTGCATGTAGAGTCTGATATACTTTATACAAAGGATGTAGCGTAAATTCTTATTGTTCATTCAGACATATAAATTACTTGGTGCAAAAGCATAAAACTGAATGGGTGAAATAATGCCAGGGGTACACATATTCAGAAAACCGATACAATAACAGTTTGGACCACAGATTCTGTCAATTGATTTTTCTGCAGTTTTCATAAAGAGCAGCAGTTGACAGTTGAGCAGCTGAAATGATAATAATCCAAATGAGGAATACAATATGATTTTGTTTGTTTGTTTTGTTTGTTTTTAGAATGAACATACAGAATAAATTGACTCTAAACTGCTCTCATTCCCTCTGTGATTGGGGGACAAACTTGTTGTCAGTAGCCTGAAGACACATCCTGCTTATCTGCCTGATCCAAAGAGGGGATATGAGCTTTGTGTTAACATGCTGCACATTCTTACATGCATCCACCATAAACACACACTGAGACCGGAAGTATCAGGGAGGTTTTTATGGGTCCAGCAGCTCCTTCCTACCTGTCTCATCTGAGAGTGCAGACTCTGGCCCAGCGTGTTCTTATAAATGTAGTGCAGGATGCTGCCATGCACACCTCTCCTCTGGACTCCTGCAGACTTGACAGGAGCTTCTGCGAGACACACAAACACAATCAAGTCTCATGAGTACATTTCACTCACAGTGGGACTGTATCGATGTTGTCCCAGCAGGACTGCACACCTGATTTCGACGTTTCTCCATCTTTCTTGTCTCTCAGTTTTTTGGACAGAGTCGTCGGAGAGTCGTCGGAAGCTCTTTTCTTCCCTTTTCTCTTGGACTCAGATGCATCTGACTTCGCTGCTTTGCTTTTCATTTCTCCCCTGTTTTGTAAAAAAAAAAAAAAAAAGCAGACAGCGGATTGTTTGAGCTGACAGTGAATCGTGTGTCAGTATGAGCGAGGTTCACACATGTTTCTTACCTGTGAGCTCTCAGTGCTGCAGCTTAAACAGCAGGAACTTCTCTGTTTGCATAACGCAGCGCTACACGTGAATGCTAGTAGCCGCAAATGTGCTTGTTTTGTAACTAGTGTTTGTTACTGCTGCCGGGCGGTAGGTGGCACTGGTTAGCCACCACCAAGCCTCACTGGGCGCCATGTTTGTAGTACAAACAGGACTACGGAGTGACGTCACGATAGCTTTTAGTGGAGGCTGGAGAGCTAAGCGACTGTTGCCTGTGTTTTTTTTCCCCTTTGTATAAAAAAAGAAAGAAAGAAAGACACGAAAGCGACATTTAACCAGCAGAAAAAAAGAAAGACATGAGAGGTTTTATTTGTAAAGATTACACATAATGCACAAAACACTTATGGAGGCACTGAACCAAAGAAAGGTAATCAAAGGTGCAGTGGCACCATTAGGCCCATCAGGCATCCTAGGCCTTGAGTGTTTCAGAAGTAGCCCCAGATCTATTTATCTGTCATTCTGTACATGCATTAAACCCTTGACAATGAGATGATACTGTTCATTACAAAAACAGCATCAGTTTGGGTCCTCTGTGTGACATTCAAGCAACACATCTACTTCACACTACTTGGGGCATTTTGTATGAGCATGTGTGAAAGAGCGCACGCCACTTACAGGTCTTATCATTGTTTGCATCTGGTGGTAGCTAATTACCTAATTCACTAAGGCAAGACTTCAAGGATGTGGAAATGAGAAGCTTTTAGGAAAAGACAAAGGATGAGGGCAATGAGGTGATGCAGGAGGAGGTGGAGGACGAGTTATCTGTTGTTTCTGTGGTTAGATAAGATATTCTCAGGCTAATTTATTACAGAATTTTGTGTTTTTCAGCAACAGAGACGGCAGATTTGATCTGATTGTTAGTAGGTATTTACAATGCCTCTATAAAGTATTCACACCCCACGGGAAGTTGTCCTTTTTTTATTTCTTTTCAACACTGAATCATGGTCAATTTAATTGGGCTATTTGCATAAGATTTGACAAAAAGGACTCTTTCACATCAAAGTACAAATAGATTTCTACAAAATAATCTTAATTAATTCGAAATTTAAAAACATTAAATAGGTCATTCACCTAATTCAACAAAGATGCAGTCAGTTGGTGCTAGGCATTCGGCAGACACCAAACACTGCACATCATCACAAGCACACCATCCCTACTGTGAAGTATGGTGGTGGCAGCATCATGATGTGGGGATGCTTTGAGGCAGCAGGCCCTGGAGGACTTGTAAAAGTAGCATGCAACAAAGTAAAAAGAAATCCTGGAGCACAATCTGATGCAGTCTGCAAGCGAGCTACAACTTGGAAGAAGATTTGTTTTCCAGCAAGACAATGATCTGAAGCACACAGAAATGGTTTAAAGACAACAAGGTTGAAAGAATGTTCTGGGGCGGCCAAATCAGAGCCCAGATTTCAATCCAACTGAGAATTTGTGGCTGAATTTGACAAGCGCTGATCACTCAAAATCCATGTGTAACCTGACAGACCTTGAGCAGTTTTACAAAGAACAGGACTAAAATTACAGCGTCCAGATGTGCAAGGCTGATTAAGACTGTCCACAAAAACTCAATCCTGTAAATGCAGCAAAAGGTGAATCTACCAAATCTTACCTTAAAGGGGATGAATACCCATGCAATTGGCTGGGCCACTAATGTTTTAAAATCCGAACGACAAATCTAGTAAAATGTGAAAAAAATGTGTATTTTTTATTTTGCCTATGCAAGTACTACCTCTATTATTAAAGCCTCCATTCTAACCAACACCACCACTACTACTACAGCTACTACAGCTAATATTAATACATGTAACTGTGCACAATGTCATTATATATTGATAGGTAAAATGGACCATATCAGTGATATTAAAAATAGCACAAATTATTATCATTATCTTTTTTAGTATCATCGAAAAATAATATTTATTTACATGTTACTGGGAAACCTTATTAAATTTATTTGAAGGTACATGGTTGTAGTTTTTGTTTTAGATGACTTTGTAGTTCATACTAGAGCTTTAAAAAAAGAAGAAAAAAATCTAAATATTTATATAGTTTGACAATATTCTTTAGTTAAGACTTAGCTTACGTATGTTTTTAACATGTATCTTCCTCTCCAGTTCTACTTATGTGTATTTCTTCTGTGTGATTTCGGGCTGCTATTATCCTACAGTTACTTCTACTAGGAATAATGAACAACAACATATATAATCATAGTATGCTTACAAAAGTTTTTCTAAAACTATAGTTAAGTGTTTAACAATTTAGGCCATGTAAACCATGTCTTTACATATCTTTAATATGCATGTGGAAACTGTAACCATATAGGCTAAATGATGGTAAATAATCAGAGAGGAAGGAACATGGTGAACTGTCCAATTTTGTTCTGTAAGCCCTGCTCGAGTCATTATGCTTGCTAAATCCAACAACCACTGTCGCTAATAAAAATGATTTAATTTCTAATATAGTATCAAACTACATTATTTTAAATATGTTCTTGCAAACATTTAGATGCAACAAAAGATGTCTGCATTAAAACAGCTCTCATTAGCTAAAACAAACAGCGTTACTATGAGAATTCCAATGATCTCATTGCTGTTTATTTTTAATTGCCAGGTATCTAAGGCGGTTCTACCTGTAGCACTAAACACACAGCTCTGGTATTTTATCAGTATCTCGGTTGACTTCTACATATTTTACAGTTTTGTTGTTTCCAAAAAAGGCTCGGCAGTGAGGGCGACATCACGTGGTCGTCGTTGTGAAATCTTATTGGCTGTTGCCGGCTCGTTTTGAAAACGTCGCCAGGTTTGAGGCGGAGGGAAGATTCAAAATTGGACCAACAGAAACGGTGAAACCGAAACAGGCAGCACGAAACCATGAACAGACAAGCGTGAGTACACGTTAATATTTTATGTTTCAAGTTCAAGTACATTACCTACATGTATGTTGTCGCTAAATACTGAGTAAGAGTTTACCGAAGTATCGAGCTGAGTAGCTTCCCTGGAACGTTAGCCAGGGGCTAGTTAGCCTTTAGCCAGAGGCTTTGTTCAGCCATTATCACTGCACTGTCACAAATAGCTCACTCTAACGATGAAATGTGAACTATTTTTCTCCAGGAAGGCTAAAACGCCCCGCAGGCCTCCTCCAAAAAAGCCTCCCAACAGCCAGAAAGACCCGGTTGGGGTGAGTGTCACTGGAGTAGGTTAACTTAACAACACAGTCGTAATGCTGTGATACGTGAACATCTGTCTGATTGTGGTTTCACGGTATAGCAGTGTGTTACTAATTTAATCATCATACAATCCAGACGTTGGAATAGAGACAGTAGAGAAGAACTTGATCCCGCTGAAGTCGATCTGACTTCGTGGTCTTTGCTCCGCAGGTGTACTGCCGTGTACGGCCTCTGGGTGCGGAGGACGAGGAGTGCTGCATCGAGGTGATCAGCAGCACCACCATCCAGCTGCACGCCCCCGAGGGCTTCAAAACCAACCGCAATGGAGAATATAAAGAGGTGAGAACTCTAGCAGGGAACCAGCAGTAGTTTGGGACTAAAGGATGAGTTTGCTGAGACTGCTTTTTTTCCTTATTGTCAAAAAATCCAGCAAAGAGACCGAAACCAACAACAAACAGACAAACAACAGACAAATTTAATAGGGGGGCCATGCTGAGACCATAACTCGAATTGGAGTGGCACAGGATCTTGTTATTGTTTTCATTTTATTTTCAGAAAATTGCTGTAGTCATTTCATTTAGTCACTCAAGACTACCAAGTAGAGGTATATGAACAGTAATAATAGTCATGTACAGTAATAATAGGCTTTTCATGTAACCCATGACTGATAAAATAGCCGGAAAAAAAGAGAATTACAAATAAAACAATCTAAGATAAGCACACCTAGGACTCTTATGGCAAAAGTGTTGTTGTTCTGCTCAGGACACCTACCTAGCTGAGACATCACGTGATGTCCATCCACCTTTTTGTTTTGCATTTTCTCTCTTTTAGCTGCAGGTTCTGGTCAGATGTTTTTACCACTTGTTTCTAGAGCTTTTCACATTAGGTTTTGACCGATAGTCTTTAGGCGTCCGTGCCAGAGCTTCAGCAAATCCACAGCTACACTGAAATCATATACACTTCAACTAATACAAACATGTACAAAGACTTTTAAATTTTTTTTTAACAAATAAAAATGATACATTTTTATACTGTCTATGCACTTCTTGCTGGCAGTTATATGAAATCTTTGAACCACAAAAAAAGTTCTGCCATAAAAATAGTAGTAACTAGACATACTCAAGTTCCAATGAGTATGTTTGCAGCCCTCTAACAGACTTCACCATTGGTTGTCTGAAGTGATCAGAGAAGTCACTCCTTGGCTCCATCCTTTATTAAATATTATCTATGTGATGAGAGCTGGACAGCATTTATTCCTCAGTTGTGTCCAAAAACGACTGACTCATTATATGGGTCACATAGTTGGACTTTCCTTCATCACCATGGCACTGTAGATTATTTAGAGTCAATCTTACACATACATACATATATATACATAATCCTGCTGCTGTAAGTACTCGCTCATCCACCAAATATGTATTTATCTCTGGCTGAATATATTCCCCAAACATGCAGTGTTATCTGTTTGGGGAGTGCCTCGCAGGTTTAGGAAGCGACTGCCGCTTATCTCAGTTCCCTAGCTATGTCCTCCAGCTCTCCTGAGGGGATTTCAAGGTGTTCTCAGTCCAGAAGGTTTATCTAATCTATTTAGTGTGGAGTTCAGGTACCCAGAAGCAGCTAATATTAGAGCTGCTGCTGCTCCTTTGCAATAAAAAGAGCTAGTTGAATTGGTATATGCACCCACACAGGATGTTACTTGAACACAAAATGTGAAGGCAGTCAAGACATAGATGCTTGGGAGGTGAAACTAAATATTAAAAGCCTATTATATAGATGTACATCTTTGGTAGGAACCTGTCAGCTTGGGCTTAAGTGTCATAGAAAGGCAGGAAAAATTTGAAAGTATTGAAAAACAACATAATGTATTCTTGGTTTTAGGCTTTATGTAAATTGTTGACAGTCAAAAAACTATGTAATAATACCAGGATTACACTTCAATGTAATAAAATATACTGTATCTCCTCTAAATCTTATATTATGATTCTGTTTTGCCTCACAGACACAGTACTCCTTTAAAAAGGTCTTTGGAGTTTCAGTATCTCAGATGGAGCTCTTTGAGTTTGTGGCCAAACCTCTTGTCGACGACCTCATTCGTGGAAAAAATGGTAAGAGCACTAACCGACTCCAGCAATAAGCCAGGAGTATTTTGACAAATAATAACCATAAGGTCACAGCCAGCTTGTCTAGTTGTGTACCTCAAATTAAAAATTCACCGTTGTTTGCTCAGTGTTTCTGAATTTTAACATGCCAGGAACCAGGAGCAATTTGGCTTTCAGTTTATTTTTGGCAGTTGATTTGCTCACTGTTTGTTGCAGGCCTCCTCTTTACATACGGGGTGACAGGCAGTGGGAAGACATTTACCATGACTGGCTCTCCAGGCCAGGGAGGGCTTCTACCTCGCTCCCTCAACATGATCTTCAACAGTATTGGTCCCTACCAGGCCAAAAGATATGTAAGAGAGTAGCATGTAGAATGGTGTTGGTTAATTCTTGTACCCAGATAATTGATTAAAACTTGCTAATATTTGTGTATTTATCTAATTTAACGCATTCTATTTGTTCAGATTTTTAAGACGGACGATAAAAATGGTATGGAGGTTCAGAATGACGTTGACGCGTTGTTGGAGCGCCAACGGCGGGAAAACAACTTGATTGTTCCTAAGACGCCTTCCTCCAGGTAAAGACACCATTACACTTTTAAATTCTAGGCTGTCTGAAATTGGCAAGAGAAAGAAAGACGATAAAATCTGTTGTCAATAATCCAAAATGGTGTTCTCAGATCGCATGGTAAGATTTATGCACCAGCTGGCTGGTTTGGCACTTGGGTGACCAAAGACAGTCTGTGGAAAAATTCAGAAAGAGAAATGTCCCAATTTCCCACAGTGTGACTAGAGCCATGAGCCTTTTCCTCAAACTAGCCATAAATACAATATGACATGAATTGATGCAAAATGTACAGGCCTGTCTGACGTGTTTTACATGTAGTTTTTATTGTACTGAAGAAGAAGAAAATGCAAACCAGAAAATGATGAAGTCAAAAAGGAAAGAGTTCGTGACTAAAAAAGAAAACCTAACATTGCTGTATTTACAAAACATAAGAGTGGGGCAGATGGATGACAAGAACTGACGACATGCTTATGCTCTCGTTTTTTTCTGTTTACATTGTAGCACTACAATACACCACACATTCACATATTCTGGCAAGCTTCCAGCTGATGTTGCACAGTCTGACACAGACTAAGATTTTATGAGACCCACTGCACAGTTCAACTTGCAATAAACCTCAGCAACTGCTGTTGTTGAACTGTATAAAGACAGAAGACTGAGTCCTGTTAAAGAATAGTGTTCTGCTGCAGGATAAATGATATGTACATCTCTAATTTTCCTACTTTGATTTTAGACAAAAGCTTGATCCTGAAATTGCCGACATGATTAAGCCAGACGAGGCTTGTAAAGCAGATGGTGTGGATGAGGACAGCAGTTACAGCATCTTTGTCTCCTACATTGAAATCTACAACAACTACATCTATGATCTCTTGGAAGAAACTCAGGAAGATGCAATCAAGCCAAAGTGAGTTCATAAAAATGTTAAGTGAAAGGAATATAATTCAGATGTATGCATTTGCATAAAATTCCAGGTTGATCAGCATTGTGTTTTATCTGTTTACAGTAGCTGAACGTAAAAATTTTCATCATAGTGGCTCTTGGCATTTATTCTTTACATTAAAGAGTAGCTAGTAGACAAAATTATTGTCCTTTCTCTTTACTAGGTGGAATGGTGGAGGCACACCTGTGCGCCAGAACACTGAGTTCATGTATGTGACCAGTGAATGCTCGACCATCAGACATCAGAGTAGCAGCCTGATTTAGCTGAGCTTTCTCTGTTGAACACAATCATGCAGTCAAATTTGTAAATGGAATCTCGTCAATGCTGGAGACTTTTTCAAAGTTACACAAATGTGTCAAATCTGAAAGCAGTTATTGAAAAGAAGCTACACAAACACAGGGCTGGGTATCGCTCTAAACATTTTTATACTAATGCTGATGTGAAACCAAGGTTTCGGTACAAACAGCAAAACAATGTTTTTATCTATTTGTTTTTGATTTATTCGTCAATCTAAAAGACTCATAACTTAGACTTATGCTCGGCAGGATGTCAGGGCTTTATGGTGAGAAATATAAATACATCTTAATACATTAAGATTACTTAATACATTTAAATACATACTTAAAATCCCTAAATAAAAAGCCATGAAAAAATGTGCATCTGAGCAGGCATTCAGTGCAAAATTTTGGTACTTTAGAATTTACAATACTCACTGTTATAGACACATTCAGTTTGTACTAAAAACATACTAATAATATGACAATACCCAGCCCTGTGTAACAACATCACTAACAGAGCTGCTGATTGCAGGCTACACCAGGTAACGTCTCCAGTGTTGATGGGTGTTCCTTTAGTCTTAATAATCCTTACCCCCCTGCCGCTTGTAGTTTTTGTTATGGCAAAGCTTTTGAATGTCCTTACACCTGTGTGTCACTCTGTATGACGCTTGATGATTGTGACTGATTACTTTCTGTGGCTGGAATCAAGCAACATTTCCCCACCTCACCCCCCTTCAATGCTTGATACTCTACATCAGTTGCATGGAAACTACAATTCCACGTCTTCAGTCAATAACATGTTTATTTACTCAATGTACAGACCGCCTCAGTCTAAAATCCTCAGGGAGGATCAGAATCACAACATGTATGTGGCTGGTTGTATGGAGGTTGAAGTCAAGTCTGCTGAGGAGGCTTTCCAGGTGTTCTGGAGAGGTGAGTTGCTGAAAGATTTGTATTTACGAGACCAAGCTTAAAATGTAAAGAGCTGCAAATGTAAAACAATCACTGCACTGATGATTGTAGATGTGACTGACCTGGAATTGCTGGCCTCCGGGTCGTCTCTGTCCAGGAAGTGACTGCAGTTAATCTTCTCTCTGAGCAGGAGTTAGGAGGATAAATAGGATTTCAATAGTAGATCAATAGTTTTATGCTTAAAATTCAATTTAAATTGCTCATGAAAATGCTTTCTGTTTTTCCAGGTCAAAAGAAGAGAAAGGTCGCCAACACCCGTCTAAACAGAGAGTCCAGTCGCTCACACAGTGTGTTCATTATTAAACTGGCTCAGGCTCCTCTTGACGCAGATGGTGACAACATTCTCCAGGTCAGCTCAAAGTGACACCAAATTTCCGGCTCCAGAGTTAAGTGCATTTTTGTAATTCCTACTTGGATGAATTGTATTTGACAAAGTCAGTCTCATTGTGTTTGTCAGGATAAGAACCAGGTGAGTGTTAGTCAGCTGTGCCTGGTGGACTTGGCTGGTAGTGAGCGCACTGGCAGGACAGGAGCAGAAGGCACTCGTATACGGGAAGCAGGTTTGTTAACAAACATTAGGATCATGTTATAATGTCAGCTGAGCTTTATCTGAGATTTAACAACATTTTACCTTTCAGGTAACATTAACCAGTCTTTGCTGAATCTGCGGACGTGCATCGAGATACTTCGAGAGAACCAAATGTGTGGCACAAACAGGGTATGTGTTGTTGAAATACTGTCGAGCTGAACTTTAAAGATCCCATAATATGCTATTTGTGTTTCCACCTGTCCTTCAGTGTGTCACATAGGACATGCGTATTACTTATTTACGTCACCATACCAAACATTTGTATAAGACCTGCCTCGCACTTCGATTGGCAAGCCCTTAAAGAATGAGCAGCTTACTTGCAGTTCAACATTTTTTGTCACTGGAGCTGTTATTGTTCCAGGGCTATGATACGCAACCAGCTTGGCTTTGATTTTGTTGGTCTACCTAACCAGTCAGAACTGACTGGTATTTTGGGAGGGATGCATTAAAGGGACGGGAGGTAAAACTGAGGATTTTAGACAGAGGGTGAGAGGAGGTGCAGGATAACAAAATAATGTGTTTTTCAATTATTAGAGCATATATACATATTCTAGGAGACTCCCAAAATACCATCAGGAACCCGTATATGTACATAATATGGCTTCTTTAATTACATCCCTTGATGAACCACGTAGGTAATGCAAGTTTTCCTCTTACAGATGGTCCCCTACAGAGACTCCAAAGTAACCCACCTGTTTAAAAACTACTTTGACGGAGAAGGAAAAGTCAGGATGGTTGTTTGTGTGAATCCCAAGGCTGATGATTACGAGGAAACCTTGGTAAGTTCATCCCACCCTACAACTGTATCTTTCAATGAACTTGTAAATTTCCTTCCATCTGACACACAAGTCTGTTGGTGCAGCTGGTGATGCGGTTTGCAGAGATGACCCAGGAGGTGGAGGTAGCTCGGCCAGTGGACCGGCCCATCTGTGGCTTCACTCCAGGCCGTCGTCATAGAAACCAGGCATTTAAAGACGAGCTGTCTCGCAGGCTGGAGGAGCGTGGTGGTCCGGTAGAAAAGGGTAATAGTTGGACACTATATAATCCAAGTCTATCTACACAAGTACTAACTTTTACCCTTTAAAATGTATATAAGGCGACACAGGCAGGTATAATTAATATCTAAATACACTGTTATATTTATATAAAAACACAATTAGTGGATTAAAAATGATAATTAAGTGAAAACATTAAATTTGAACACTGAGGTATGTAAATAAAACATGTCAAACTACAGCCACACATCGAAAATTTTAATTTTAATTGTAATATCTCAGAATTAGCATGGAGTAATGGATTCAGGTCTTGATATTTATTTATTCATTTATGATTTTTCAGCTGAATAACTGCTGTTGTAATGCTCATTGCTTCAGTTTATTATTCAGTCCTGTACTCACTTTTATCAAGTGCTTACAAGCACCTTCAGCTCATGAATGCATACTGACATTATTTAAAATTTAATTGGAGAATAAACCCTTTGAGATGCATCATCACATTTAAATTGATCCTCAAATTAAAGACAGCCCTTTTTCAAAAACAATTCCTGTAAAAATGCACAGCTTTGTCTTTGGGCCTATAATTATGTGGAGATGTTTCAGCCATAGTATGCTTTGTAGGCTTATAAAAACACAATGAGTTTAAAGAGTTGTGTTAATTCTGTTTCTGTAGATGTGCCCTCTGTTATAAACTACCTGGTGCACAGCCTCCCACCTCTACCCTCCTCTGAGCTCACTGACCCACATGATGACATCACCCTGCCAAGACTGATTGAAGCTCTGGAAAACAGACACAGGATGAGGCAGAGGATGATTGAAGACTACAACAAAGCAGGTGTCTGCTTGCATTTGAGTCCAGCTGTTACTTGGTGGCTTTGACAGGTCAAGTTATTTGAAAAGTTGAGTTGGACTTCTTATTTTGGCTCACCTTTCGTCTACTTCATTATTCCTTATTTTAGCCAACATGATGAAGTCTATGCTTCAGGAACTGGATGCCAACCTCATTTCCAACGACAACTTTATTCATGAACAAAATGGAAAAATGGCAGAAAGAGACAAAATCATCCAGAACAACAAGACAGAGATCGAACGCTTGGAAAAGAAAAACAAGATGCAAGAACATAAGGTGGGAAATAAAAATATTTAAGTCTCTCTAAGAGTGCAGGCTAGTATATAAGTTAAGTTTTATGAAATGTCTCACGTGGCTCTCTTTCAGATTGACATCCTGCAGAAAACAACTAAAATCTATGAGGATGACAAGCGTTCACTGAAGCACGAGCTGGAAACCAGAGAACAGAGGCTGCAGAGGGAACAGTCTGAGAAGAGACGCATGGAGCAGCACATGCACGGCATGGTCTCAGACACCCAGCACAAATGGGAGAAGGAATGTGTGAGTTTCTCTTTTCATAACTCACAAGTTAAGAAATTGGCAGCCTTTTGTTTACTGTAGCCGTTATACAAGCACACATTTTATTTTTTTGCCACTTTGAATAATTATGTGTTTATAACGTTAATTGACGATGGCTTATGATTTTTGCACTTGGACAATAATTCTCTTGCTGTGTAGGAGAGGCGCGTTAACGCGATGCAGCTTGAGATGCAAAACAAGCTCTGGGTGAAAGACGAAAAGCTGAAGCAGCTCAAGGCCATCGTGACGGAGAGCAAGACTCCAGGACGTCCAGGACGTCCCGATCCTCCACCGCGTCAGACGCAGACGCAGCCTCAGCGGCCTTCCAGGGAGGAACGCCTCCCAGCAAAGAGATCTGCCTCCCCGTCACCGCTCCCTGTATGTTGTTCATAATGCTTAGCTCCTGTTTAATCTATGCTGCTAAATATTACTAGATGACATGACGGTTAAGCAGAATTCTGTCCTTTTAAATTAACATCTATGTTCCTCTGTGAAAATCTATTAACCATCCAGACTAACATTGCTAATCACAATGTAACAGCAGCAGACACTTCATGCACATTATAATGTAGCCCAGTGCATTAACCCTGCAGCTGTTAATTACCTTTGAGAAGCTGAAAAAACTCATTTCTGACGAGAATGTCACAGAGCTGTTGATACTTTCGAGGCTGTTGTGATGCTGAATTACATTGCAAATGGACTGCAACTAATTTATTTGCAATATCAATTACTCAATAGGTAATTATTATTTGACTCACTTGTTTAGTCTACAACATATCAGAATATGGTTAAAAATGTCCAAGCTGACGTCTTTAAATGCCACGACAACATTAACTGTTCAAGCATTAAAAACAGAATAGCAGTAATTTCTCACACCGACAAACATGAATTGACAGTTTTTCTTTGAAAATGAACCTAATACAGTTAACAAATACATTGCTAGTTGTTGTTGCAGGTTGACTACTTATTACAGCTCTACTTTTGGATATATTTTAATGTTATTTTGCTGTATCGACATTTACACACAGTAAGGAGCATCATCTACACAAGTCCTCACAAAGATATACTGTAATCTATTGTAGGGCTTTTGATCACTTTAGACTGTGCACGTGTCTGCTGCTGCTCCACCCCATGAACTGCACATGATTCTACCACTTCCTATAATAATTAACATGTCCATGTGTCTTCTGTGTCTGCGACTAACTGTTAACGTGCCGTGTTTCCACTTTGCCCCCCAGTGCCGTGTTGATTCTCCTCAAGTCAGTCCAGTGCTAGAGTCACAGCCAGTCAGTACCACTAGAGTTGAGGAGGAAGAGATGAATCCAAGGCCCACCTGCCCCATCCCTAACACCTGTAGTTCTTGGTCTGTGGCTAGCTCTATCTCAGCATGGGAGCAGCGGTCAGCTCAGGACAGCGTGCAGGAATACCACTCCCCTTGTACACCCACCAGAACGCAGTCTCCAGCAGGCCCCTCAGCCAGCCAGACCAGAAGGAGAGCCGTGTGCTTGAATAGAGAGGAAGAAGGATCCTGCTGCCCTCCGTTTGATCTAGACCTTTTTCAGAGAAGCTACAGGGTCAGTGAGTTAGCTACAGAGAGCAGGATGAGGTTGTAGAGTAAAACCTGGTGTCCTTCCTACACTAAAACTATCTCTATATTATAGCTTTTGCCAAGCGCTGTAGTTATTTGACTGAGTTGTATATTTGTTTTCCCCCCTTTCCCTCTTTAATTTGTTATTCGGTTGATCTGAGCAGACGACGACACCAGTGCGGCCTCTGCACCGCCGTTCCCGTTCTGCTGGCGGTGAGAAGTGGGTGGACCACAAGCCGACCTCCAGCCTGGACTTGGGCACAGTTTTGCAGCCCATCATTCCCAATGCCATCCAGGTGTCTGCACCCAGCGAGAAGGCCCTGTCTAAGTGTGACAAATATGTGTTAACGCACCAGGAGGTCGCTTCTGATGGCGAGATACAGACCAAACTTATTAAGGTGAGGTATGGTGCAGCAGGATATGAGACCCATATCTGAAAATGTCTCCATCTGATAACAGATGACATCACATCCATACTCAGTCTGACATCATATTTATGTTAGCCTTTTGGGGTTTGGAAGGCACTCTCATTTTTGCCCTCACCAACCAATATCTATAGCAGCTCGTACAATTTTTTCTTTTTTTTTTTTAATTACTCAAAGGAATCTGTCACTTCTAAAAAATTAAGCCTAAGTTATGTCTGTAGGTCGACTCTCTACAGTCTTTAATGGTGCCAATCTCAGCCATGCATGTCTAAGAAAAGACAAGTAGTAGTGTTAAAGCATGAAACAGTATTACCATGTACTGCATTTGCTAAGTCATGGTAGTTGGTGTTATAAAAAACAAAAAACAAAACAAGTCTGCATCTGTGTTTCAACAGACACGAGTAATACCACCTGATTACAGAGTTGTCACAATGAATGAACTGCAAATAAAAGTTGGCTATTGCCTAATAATTTTACTTCATTTTTCAGGGTGACGTGATTAAAACCAGAGGAGGAGGACAAGCTGTCCAGTTCACCGACATTGAGACACTAAAACAGGAGCTCACCATAGCTGCAAGGTGATAGACCATTGGAGAAAGATTTTGTTTACAATAGGAGCTACTTCAATGAACTTCCCTCTACTTGATAAACGTGTACAGTGATTTTCTAATTCTGAATGTTTACAATTGATGTAAACATAATATTTAACTGTGAAATGACAAAAGTGAAAAGAACTGATGGGGATTAAAGGTCATGATTAAATTGCAATATCTGTCAGAAAAATTGTGATGACAAATTTCCCCCAAAATGTCCAGCTTTACTGTCAGTGTTTATGTGCACCTACAATTCAGAACTTCATTTAATGCATTTCTCGTGTCCAATTTTAGAATTTCAAGCACCTTGTAAATATGTTGCATATAATTTTAAGATGTGTGAACAGTTATTATATATAAACCAGTTTGTTGCATTAAACACTTTGAAAGTCATATTTCACTAATCTTTTGTCAGTTTTACATCCAATATTGTTAAATTAGACATGTTATTATTATTGTGGTTGATTTTCAACATGTCAGTTGGCAATATCACGTATTTGTTTGTTCTGCAAAGGGTGGAGGATGTGTGAAGATGTTATAATAATTAACAAGTTTGTCATTTCACACCTGTCCCTAAAGCCGCAAGAGGAAATCTTCAGAGGGCACCCCATCAAGTGGGGATGGAGCAGATGGAGCTTGGACTGATGTGGAGACAAGGGTAAGATGATAGAATTGATTAGTCTTCCATAAACTGTGTGTGTGTTGGTTTAAGCCTGGATTATGTTTATTTGCACACTGAGAGCTGCAGGCATCGTGTACGCATACATATACTTTATACAAGCCTGCTTGGAGAACACGTTGTCATACATGCACAGTAGATCAGGGTCTACATAGTCCACATATGCACACTACTCCCAACCATTAGCACAAAGACATACAGTGAGAGGTTTGCACAGACTCTCACAGACTTGGGGAGTTGAAGAAATTTACTGAGTTGTAGGTCACCAATGTTTTAACATTACACTACATACAGACATTTTTGGCACAGACAAACATTCATCAAAATGGTAATGAAGAGCTTGCTGTCTTCATTGTGTTAGGTGCTCATTCATCCCTCAGTTACGATCCTCTTTGTTTTAAGGTCAATTTAAGACTTCAAATTACATTTGAGTCACAATTTTCCATTTCTTCCCAGTGCTCTGTGGCTATGGAGATGAGGGCTGGATCAAACATGGGGCCTGGATATGAGCATCATGGCATCACCAAGTAGGCCGTCAACTTTCTCCATCAACATTTTGTTTTTACCCGCAGCTCATAACTGGAGATTATGATTGACTCTGTTCTGTTACAGGCGCAGAAAACCTTGAAAGCATCCGACGGCTGCAACAGTGATCACACTCCTCCTCTCTCCTGACCTGGCTGTTGTGCAATAATCTGAACTTTGTTTTTGAATTAGCTCTAGTGATAATATTTAAACATTTTCTATGCCTTTATATATGCAACGGTGTATATATACATCGGTAACCAAAGCTGTTTTGTAAAGTATTTTATACGCTTTTTCTCTGTTGAGTCAAACACAAATGTTGTTGGTCTGAGTCAGTGGCAGATGTTTAGTTACTGTGGAGCTACAGCTGAAAAGAAAAACGTTGGTTTGCACATTTATTACTTGGCACATGAGAAGTTATTGTGAAGCTGCCACAATATTGATTGATATCTGCTACAAACTGTCTTTTGATTGGTGACTTACATTGAACTTCAGGTAAAGTTAAAATCATCAGCTTACTTTGGAGATTTTTTTCCTTCACTGTACACTATGGAATAAAATTCCTTTGAAGCACCACTTTGATGAACACTGCATAATTTACAGCAAAGAAGACCAGCCGCCCCAGGATCATTTCCTAACACTAGATGGCAGCACAGGACAGTGAGACATTATAGATCCTCTGTTGAAACACTGGATGCACAGCTATGACAAGTCATCCCTTACACCCCACTATTCTGTAGGCTCCATAATAATACAACATGAAAAGTGAACTTTATCAACGTCACTGAACAGAGGCACAGTTTTATTGTGTCTTATCAAATTTTCGAGCTTTGGCAGTTGCAAAGACCGATTCCAGTAGTTGGAGGTTGACAGGCTAATACGGAGGGAAAACAAATTTGCTTCAAAATGATGCTTGAAAAGAGATTTAATGTCGAGTTAGCGCTCTGGGCAACTGAGTGCCAAGAGTGGAGAAATACTCTCTGTCATATAAACAAAGTCTGATTTCAATTACTTTGCTGAAATTGCTTTCCTGTGCTCATGCTTGATTAGATATTCATTATGTTAAACAAGACACCTTGTATATAAATGCATATTAAATCAGTGTGGTTGGCTGCCCTCGGGGCAAGTCAGCTGAGTCGCAGGCTGTCATAAAGCCCATAAATGTCCTGTGTCCTGACTTTACCTACTGCTATGTGGTTGGTTCTCAGCCTAGTTTGTTGGCTTAGTTTTGGTTTTGACACTTACTCACAAATGAAGGACAAGGACCAATGTTGGTGTTTGTGGAAATAGTAGCATTACTTTGATCTATAAAGTCCTGCATTCAGTGTTAGCAGACAAATGTGCTTAAAGCATCAAAAATCAAACCACTTCTTAGTTGACAAAGTAGGCTCGTTAAAGTAACTACATTTGTTAAGCACATGTGGATTTAAAAGTTCAATATTTACCTCTGAAAATGTCGAGAAGAGGTACCTCAAAGCTGTACTAAGCTACAGTACTGGACTAAATGTGTTTATAGTCTTGAAAAGACAAAGCATAGAATAAACTATTGGTAAAATAAGTCTACAATACATTTGAACTCACTA